TATTATTGTCCCCATTTTATGGATGAGGAACATGAGGCACAGAGAGGTTAAGTACATGCCCAAGGTGATACAGTTGGTATGCGACAGAGCCATTATAGCCAAGATTTAAAGATGCACCTGGCCTGGTGCAGTGGCTCAGGCCTGTAATCCCAGCACTTTGGGAGGTCAAGGTGAGGGGATTGCCAGAGCCCACGGGTTTAAGATCAGCCAGGGCAACTTGACAAGACCTCATCTCTACAATAAATCAAAAAATTAGCTGGGCACGGTAGCACGCACTCGTAGTTCTGACTACTTGGAAGGCTGAGGCAGAAGGATCACCTGAGCCCAGAAGTTTGACACTGGGGTGGCCGTGAGCATGTCACCATACTCCAGCCTGAGCAATGAAGTGAGACGCCAACTCAAGGAAAAAAAAAAAAAATGCATCTGAGGGTTCTTCCCTGTATATGTTGTTCATTGTCCAGATTCTGAGAAAATAATTGTCATAAAGTAAATCTACACTATTTACTTTCTAATCAGAAGCTTTTAAAAAAAAAGTCATCAATGTACTGCACATTCAAGATTTCAAATCTATAGCACAGCTAGAATGGAAAACAGTATCTTCTAGCCCCACTGTTCCCCGTGTCTTCTAACCATTGGGATGCCCAGGTGAAACAGATGAAAAGAAGGAGGCTGGACTCAGAAGTAACCTGAAATTCGTTCCTCACCTAATTTAAGGGGAGAGGGCTCAATGAAAAGATCTTTCCCTGAGACTCTTTCAAATTACACAGGCAATGGAGAAGCTGCCCCTGGACCCAAGGTAAGCCCAGGCAGGGCTCTGATGCTATGGGGACCTAAGCAGCTTTTCAGAGGTCCCTGGAGGACTACGGAGGCCATTGCAGACCCTTGCCACAATCCATGCAGGGCCCACCTGTGCATGGGGTGGTACAGAAGGCCTAGGCATCCTGTGTTACCCTGATGTAGATCCCAGTCCTGTTGGATCCTCAGTTTCCTCCTTTGTGAAATGGAGGTAACAGTAGCACCCATAATTTAGAGTGGCTGCAAGGAAAAAATAAAGCAATGTGACTTCTTCCCACAGGCATAAGAGCCTGGTATACAGGGGCATGTATTGTATATTAGCCATATCTTTACTGTGTGTGGCTTATTTGATGCAAACATATTCTGTCATTCTGTCAGGTTCACACCTGTCTTCCCCCCACCCCTGCCCCCAGCCTTAGATCATGCATGTGTGGAAGGGAACACCTGTTCATTCTGGCAGGGCCTACAAGCAGAAGGCCAGCTCTCACCCAATAAGTGACTGGGGGTCAGGGCTGAGATTCAGGTTTGGGATTCTCAATTTCCCCAGTTCTTTGGCATAGATATTTGAGGCTCCATTTGACCGTCTCAGGGCCTAAACCATGCCTTAGAATCAGGACTGCTAAACAGTGAAAATCCTCTCTAGAAAGTCATTACATCAACAGAGAACCTGCTTGCACTCCCTCACAGTGAGCCAAGGTGTCCCTTGTTGTCCCTGCAGGACAGTCACTGTATTCCCTACACAGCATTCCAGAGCTGCTTGGCATGGATGATTAGAGCTGTTGCCAGCTCATGCCCACCCTCTGTGTCTTTCTCTACCTAATTTCTTGGAAGAGATTTGGGCAAAAGGGTCTGTCACTGACTGAAACTGATCTCAAATTACTTGGGTTCAGAGGAAAGAGCCATAGGCTCTGCTGTCTGGAAAGAACCCCAGGGGTTCATCTATGTCAAGTTTCAGTATCTGAATTCAGCTCACTATAACAGCCTCTACCCACTCTTGAGTGTGGGAAGAGATCAGCATTGATCAAACTTTAAGGTAAAGCGGAATCACCTGGGGATCTTGTAGGCACATTCTGATTGAGCAAGAGGGAGAACATGCTGAAATTCTGCATTTCTTACAAGCTCCCAGCTGATGTCAACACAGCTGATTTCACAGACACACCTTGAGCTAGAAGGATCTAGTGGGCTTGCTGCCCTCAGAAGCTCCTGCTTTAATAGGGGAAGTACAGCCGGGCGCAGTGGCTCAAGCCTGTTATCCCAGCACTTTGGGAGGTTGAAGCGAGAGGCTGAGCCCATGGGTTCAAGACCAGCCTGGGCAACATGATGAGACCATGTCTCTACAATAAATCAAAAAATTACCTGGGTGTGGTAGTGTGCACTTCCAAGTTCCAGTTACTTGGAAGACTGAGGCAGAAGGATCACCAGAACCCAGCAGCTCAATGCTGGGGTGGCTGTGAGCATGCCACTATACTCCAGCCTGGGTGATGGAGTGAGATTCCAACTCAAAAAAAAAAAAAAAGGGGAGGGAAGTACTGTACGTGAGCAGACCAAGCTCTTCAAGGCAGGAACTATTTTATTTTTTCCAACCACAGTGTCTAACCACATTGTCTGATATCATCATTAAAAATATTTACTTGGATGTATGTATGAGCAGGCACATATAGATGGACGAGTGGGTGACTACTGATATTAACATCAAATGCACAATCAGAAACAACTAACAAATAATATATTGTCCTACAAATTACATATCTAAGTAAAAATATCTAGGGGAAAAATGAAGAAAGAAGGGAAGGAAGGAAAAAAAGGAAAAGTGTTTTCCAAACCCCCAAAGTATTTTCTTTTCATCTCTACTAGGACATCTTTTGAAGTTATTGTGATGTGTGAATGTATCCTATATCCTCCAGTAGATTATAAGGTGTGAGTGTTCAGGGCCTGTTTTTACTTCCTAATCCCCAGTGCCTAGCACAAGAGCCAGCTCTAACATGAGCTCTATAAACACATATCTCGTGAAATGAATCAGATAAATCTCCCTTAGGTACCAGACACTTTACAAGGATTATCTCATTTAATCTTCGTGACAACCTTATGAGGTCAGTACTATTAGTATCCCCACTTTACAGATGAGGAAGGCAGAGCTCAGGAGCATGAAATAAAATGCCCACAGTCATACAAATCGTTAGTGGCTGACATTAGGACACAGGACTCCAGGCTACGATTGCCCATGCTATTGACCAAGGAGGATCCTGGTTTTGTAAGGCCTGAATCTTATACATTTTGAATGCCTTTCTTTAAGAAGTAGTACATCAAAGGAATCTTTTGCAAAATTTGCCAAGCCATATGACTACATAAACACATTGCTGGAACCTTCCCCAGGGCCCTGGATGGAGTCATGGAGTGAGGGGCTCTGAACTTGAGCATCATGATAACTCTGTCTCTGATCTTGACTCACATGCTGGAAACAGAAGAGGAAAGGGGAAAAGGAAGAGGAAATATTACTGGAAGAAGAGAGAAAGAGATAAAAGGAGAGTGAAAAGAAGAAAAATGGGAAGGAAAAACAGGAGGAGAATCTAAAGAGATGTGTGGAAAAGAGAAAGAGACAAGCAGGACAGGGCTGAGAGGGAGCTGAGGCTTCCTCTGGAAGAATTAGGGTTCTGGTATAGCCATCTGCACCTGGCACCTGGGAGAAGTAGGCCTCTGCCCAAGCCTCTATGCCTCCACCCATAGACCTCCAGACCCCTCCCCGGGCATCATAGCTGCCCTGCCCAGTTCTGCCCATGTGTTTCTTCTCCACGAGCTCCCAGATTCACCTAGGAGTTGGAGTCAGGAGGCTGAGTCATTGTGTCTCCACCTAGCCATGCCCTGCTGCCCTTCTTGTCCAGGCAACTACCTCCTTCCCGGTTCGTAACCTGAGTACCCGGTAAAGACATGCAAACCTGTGGGCCAGGCATCTAGCTTGGCATGTAGAGGAACCAAAACAACGGAAAACCTGGCCCAGGGTGGCCCACCAGCCTCTTGTTGCCCCACTGCTGCAATGCTTAAAAGGAGGTTCCTGTTCTGAGATCACAGGCTCTTGGCTCTGCTCCAAACTCCCAACCCTAAAGGCCACTACCCTTGAGTGGAGAAGGGCTGTGGCCATGTTGGATCTGGAGCCCCTCTAGGCCAGCCTCTGATCTCTGCTGCTCAGAGACAAGCCCAAGGTCTTGCCTCATTGATCAGCTGAAATGTGGCCAAAATCAGTTAAATCTACCCAGTATTCCTCCTCCAGCTGAGCCATCACGGGAGTCCTCCCTGGGCCATGTCATCACAGACCCGTGGCTTTCAAGTTGTTCACACAGCTGGCAGTGGTAGGAAAACCAGGTTCCAGCCCCAGTTCTGCCAAAAATTACTTCATCTCCATAAGCTATAGCTTCCTCAGCTAACAAATGGGAACAAAATATTCCTCATGGGGTGGTTGTGAGAATGAAAACTATGACACGTAGAAGCCCTGGGAACGTCAGGGCTGAGAAATGGAAGAAGACCTAGATTTGTTTGGAATCAGACACTAATTTACTCTGTGATATTAGGTAATTGATTTTCACTGTCTGGAATTTTGACGCCCACAGAATACAGGAACGGAGTAGATGGTTATCCAAGTCCCTCCCAGCTCTATGGCCTGTGGGTCCGAGGTTTCACCTTGCAAATCCCCTGGCCAGAAGGCAGTGGCAGCCATCAGAATTAAACCAGGAAGAAGAGATCTGGGCCCCAGCCATAGCAGCAAGAGTGATTTTCAAACATTTAATGACCGGTAAGACAGTGACAAGAAGCACTTGTAAGCTCTATGCAGGACAGCTCTACTTCTGGGATTCAGAGAAAGTGGGTATAGCCTATCTCCCTAAAAGAAACCCTCTCCTTCTCCGTGGACTATCCACACCTGGCAATGATCCCATTCTACTGAACTGCAAATGTTGCCATTCAATTCCTAGACTCCTCCAACTTTCCAGAACCCCAAACGAAAGCACCCACACAGTGAGAAGTCATGTAACTCAAAGGAAGGAGAGGATACTTCTGGCATCACCCTCAGCCAACACCAGTTAAGTGTAAGTCATTCAGGCGGGAAGACTTTTGTGGCATCTTAGGTGTGTCACCAGATCTGAGGCCAAGGGCCCTGTGAAGGATTCCAGGTGTTGTCCCTGCCCCTAAGATGGTGTCGGGTTACAAGATACATAATCATTCCAGTTTGGCAACTTCACCTGCATAGGGTTGTTTTAATTGACGCGCCCCACAGTCCTTGAGTCAATCCTGGAATACAGCAGTGGGAGGCAGCTGGCTTGCTAAGGGGACAAGGATGCTGGACATGAGGGACCGAGGCCTGCCCTGCACTTAGGCCTCTTCCAGCCAGCGCTGACCAGGGATTTCTGACCTGCTGGCCAACCAGGACCCACTTGAGGATGCCTTCCTACTGACTTGTATTGCTGGTCTCAGCTCCAGGCTGTAGAGAAATTGGGAAGATCACAGAGCCAGCATGGTGAGTGTGGGGGAATCTGCTCCCAAGACTGGAGAGGGCTGGTCTCCCCACAAAAGGGCATTTCAAGCAGCCTGAGAGGTCATCAGCTGGGAATTTTGTAACACCTTCCAGGTTAAAAAGGAGGTAATTAGACGGGCATGGTAGTGCACGCCTGTAGTTCCAACTACTTGGAAGCCTGAGGTGGAAGGATTGCCGGAGTCCAGGAGGTTGAGGCTGTGGTGGCTGGAAGCGGCCACTGCACTCCAGTCTGGGTGACAGAGTGAGACTCCAACTCAAAAAAAAAAAAAAAGGAGGTAATACCTGCATCCCCTCTACCCCTCAGCCCCTTACATGTCTCATTCTCACCTGTCCCCTCTCTTCCTCCATTGCTCCCAGTCCTTGGGCCAGCCCCTCAAAGAAGCCGAGCACAGAACCCAGGGCTCTCCTTTCTGACTATTCCCTCCTGAATCCTGTGTGGTCTTTTGCCCAGTGTCTCCTGGTCTGTTGGCTAAAGGCTGGCACTAATTTTCCAAGTGGGATCAGATTGGGCAAGGGGGACTGTTTGGAAACCGTGGTGACCCTCTGCCACTCCTTGGGAAACTGACTCCTTTTCCTTTTAAAGATAATGGTGCAGAGAGGCCTACAAACAAGTTGGGGTGTTTGTGGATATCTACTGGGTCTCTTTTCCTTCCTCACCCTCTCTCCTCATTCTTTTCTGGACACCTACAGCAACTTCTCTGTCTTGGTGCAAAGAGAGTCAGCCCCATCTTTCAAAGAGGACAGCTGAGGACCAGGGAGGGGAAGAGACAATAGCTGGGTCTGAGGTGGAACCCAGGGGTCTTCATTCTCCGATCCTTGGCCAAGAGGCAGCCACTACCCAGCCACGAAAGTGAAAGGGAAGGAAAAAGAAAGCGGCGATCCAAGGGGGAAGGATGTGACCTTCAGGAGCCCCTCAAGTGACTGTGTACTGACTCGAAGCCTGAGCACTTTCCAGGACACTCTTCTAAAGAGTCTGGCATGGGCTATTCCCAGTGCTAGAGTAGCCGAGGATCAGAAAGGGGAAGGGGCTTGGCTGCTTCACTGTGGAATCGAACCCGGATTCCAGCTTCCTGCTTCTCCACCCAAGGAGGTACCCCAGAAGCTCAGCCTCTGTGCAGGGACACTCCATCCCCTGGGGCTCCTGCCTGGCTGTGAGCTGTTTCTGGGTGGCACTGAGGAGACCTGGGCTGGCTCTGAGGGGGAGCAACAGAGAAGGGAATTGTTTCCAGGGCAGATGACCGGAGCGCTAACTGTCAAATCAAAAGGCTGAGGCCAGCTCCCTGATTCACTGTGCGGTCTTGAGACTTTGATCTTTCTGAGACTCATTTTCTCCCCTGAAGTGGAAATCATATGATCCACAACACCCCACGAGCACTCACAGGGTTAGTGGAGAGAGTAAATGGCTAGTATACATGAATGGGTTTTGTAAACCATGAGGCCCTATACAAACATAAGAACTTAGGACTAAATAGGAAGTCACTCTAGGAAATGACAGCTGGGTGGCACACTCAGGGAAGGAGCTGGGCTTTGCTGTATGAGTGAAGGAATAGGTGGGCACACTCTGGGGGAGGTGTCAGGCCTGGGGCCCCAAAGGCCAGGAAGCAACATGGCCAAGCTCTGAGGTAGGATCAAGGAAGCTTCTGGCCCCCAGCTAACCTTTAAACCACTTGTGCCCAATAACCCCGTCATTTCCCTCTAATGAGGCCAGGACAGTCATAGCTCCCAGCCCTGGGGATAGGGTGGGAGGGCTCATGCCCAGACTCAGCCCTGCTGTCTTCTTCCCCTCCTCCTTCCATCCCCATAGGCCACTCCCCGGAACAGAGAGAGTTCTTCATGGCACTGCTTCTTAGCAATGGTTCTTCCTAAAACCCATTAAACTGGGTATGCCCAGGGAGAGCTGGAGCCAGGGATTAGCCATGGGCAGAAATCAGAGCCCAAACTCTGTCCCTGAGGGAAACGTGTCCCTTGGTATCTACTCTGTAGCCTAGGCCTGGAGGGAAGTCAGGGACCCTGGGACTAGCCATCCTGACCTTGACTCATTACTGCCCCGGAGGCCCCAAATAAACCATGAGCCATAAAATGGGGGTGTAACCCCTGAGGTCATTCCCGACCCTTCTAGCTGCTCTGGAAGAAACTGGTCCCCCCTCCCACCTCCTCCTTTCCTTGACAGCCTGGTACAGACCCAAGGGGCTTCACTGGGCTCAGCTGAGCCTGGGAATCTGGCAAGTCAGCAGGCCAGCCTGTGGGCAGCAGAGGCCTGGGAGCACTGTAGGGGCTGCCCCAGACTGAGGCACAGGGTCCAGGAGTCCTGGTCGTGCCATCCTGGGCTCTGAGGTGGCAAACTGACAGTTGGGTGGTGGGAAGACCCTAGTGGGCAGGATGGGCAAAGAAGGGCTGCTGTCTTTACCTGCTCTCCTGGATCCCTCACCACCTGGGTGAGGGCACCTGGTGTCACTGTGACCCCAAAGAGTATCCATCCAGTCAGTCACCATTTAATCAGCCCCTGCCATTGGCCAGCCTCTAAATGGGGGAAGTTCTACTCTTGAGGTACTCAAAAAAGAGAATGTGACAAGTATAATACCAGTGGTGATTTTAAGGTACCTCTGGAGCCAAGAAGGTAGTAGATTCTCTCTAGGGTGGTCAGGAAGTTGTCCCAGAAGAGAAAATATTTGTACTCATCTATGAAGGATGATAAATCTCTCTCCAGGCAGAGAAGGTGGGAAGAGTGTTCCAGACAGAAGGAGCTGCATGTGAGCAACAACAGTGGGAGAGTGAGGACAAGGGGGTCAGGTGTTGTGGCTGGAACAAAGGGCACAAGGATCAGAGGGGGGACAGGCTGAGCTCTGACCCCGTGCAAGGTCATGCAGGCTCCACCACACACCTCGGGTTCAGGGTACTCCCCGCCCCATGCCCAGTGGGGCCAAGCTGAGCCACCTTCAGAACTTGGCACGGGCCACCCTTCCCCAGCAGGTTGGGCAGCAGGGTCCAGCTCTGTGCATTCGTTCCTCAGAGGGGTGGCATGCCTCATCCATGCCAGGCACTAGAGACTCGCTGACTTGTGAGAGAAAACAGACATGGAGCCTGCTTTCACAGAGCTGAATCTGGAGGGGGTAGAGGGTGGGGAGGGATAGAGATTATCAAATATCACACACTTGTGTTTAACCAGCTACTGAGATGTATGCTGTGAGGCAACAAGCAGGGAGGTCTATTTGCTGGGGGCCAGAGGGAGGCTGAGACAGAACAAAAGCTGGTGGGGCATGGCAGGAGGAATTCCAGGCCAAGGAGTCGCACGTGCTAAAGTAGAAGCAGCATCTCCCATGCCCTCTCCATCTCCCAGGGCTCTTTCCTCCTGACCTTGGGGGTTGAGCTCTGTAGTGGGTGCTGACCTGGAGAAGGGTTTTACGAGTCAGGTCTCCTGATGTCCCCAGGCCTCCCTCCTCCTCTCTACCTTCCTTCAGTGCAGTCATCCTTCCCTCCCTAGCCTAGCCCCATGACAAAGCCCAAGGGATCTGAAGAGCTGAATGTGGAAAACAAGAAGAGACCTGGCCACGGGAAGAAGTGGGTAAAAAAAAAAGAGAGGAGAAAAGCAGGTACAAAACAGGGCTCAGGGACTATCGACAAGCTTCCCAAGCCCCAGAACAATCCAGCAGCACGCAAAATCTTCATGGGCTCAGGTTTCCTGGGCACCTCTTCTGCCCACAGTCTTCCTTCAGGCCTGAAAATCTTCATGGGCTCTCAGGCCTGAAAATCTTCATGGGCTCAGGTTTCCTGGGCACCTCTTCTGCCCACAGTCTTCCTTCTCAATTAGGTGAAAACATCAGCTTCAATAAAACACTTCATGTTCCCAAGCAATGGTTGCCCAAGACAGTGAACTCTCCCAAACCTAAAATAAATTCATCTGCCACTTTTTTTGTAAACTTGTTGCCACCAGACTGTGCTTTTTCCATCTTTTAGCCCAAAACCTAGCACAGGGCCTGGCATGAACTAGGAACTTGGTAAATGTTTGTGAATGAATGAATGAATGAGTGAATGACATATAAATGATCAAAGACTGAAGTCCCTATAACCAGCTTCTGCTCAATGGAAACAAGGTTCACCCCCAACTGCAACTGGAAAACAAGCCAGATTCTATCTGGGATGTTACTAAGGTGTTTTCATCCCAGACAGGGCTGGGTGTGCAGGAGGCACAGGCCTGAGCCTGTCTAGAAACCCCAGTGACAGGGAAGGGGGAGAGTCGGAGCAGAGCCAATATGGCTATCCCCCTGTGATGTGTCTAACTCCACCTCCCAACCTGTCACTATGACTAACCATCATGACTACAGCAGATAAATTTGTAAACAAGACTCAAAACCACAGCAGCCCTCCCCTACTCCGGCACCAGGGCAGCTTCCAGCTTCCTTCAAGAATCCACGTGCAGCCGGAAACTCTCGTAGTGTAGCAGCTGAAAGGAACACTTGAGGAAGAGGGACAGAGACTCAGATGGTCCCTGTCCAGGAGTGGCAGTGGTATCTTCTGCCACAAAATATCCTGCCCGTTGGTCTGGCTGGGCTTTGGATGCTGGTATAGGTCGAGTAGACTGATGCTTTGGGCATTTCCTGCTATTTCAACTTCTTCCTGTATAATTTGCATGCATGCATTCATTCATTGAGCATGTATTCCCTGAGCATCTACTGTGTGCTAAGTACTGGCAAGATACTCTGGAAGATTCAGATGAAGTTTCTTACTCAGTGCTGCTCAGGAAAAAAAACCCAAGTTACCAAGAGGCCATTATGGATAGAAAGGTGAGCCGGGCTCGGGGCTCAGCCTGTAATCCCAGCGCTTTGGGAGGCTGAGGTGAGTGGATTGCCTGAGCCCACGGGTTCGAGACCCACCTGGGCAACTTGGCGAGACCTCATCTCTACAATAAATCAAAAATTAGAAGGGTGTGGTAGCGTGCGCCTGTAGTTCCAGCTACTTGGAAGGCTGAGGCAGAAGGATCGCTG